TAACGATTTAACTTTTTTAACTTTTATAATTCTTTTAGTTTTTTTAGTTGTTTTAGGTTTTTCCGCGCTTTCTGGTAATTAACTATTTTTCAATTTATTTGATGTTTTTTTAGCTTTTTTAGCTTTTTAAAAAGTTAAAAAAGTAAAAAAAATAAATAAAACAACTAAATAAATGAAACATCTAGAAAAAATCAAAGCAGAACCCGTCAAATAGACCCAAAAGGTCCTACATACATAGACCTCTAACTGTTATAATCCTTCTTATGGGGACCCCAAAATGTACCAACATGTACCCCTAATTACGGGAAACCCCCAAATGGGAGCCCCAGCCTCCGTAAATTAAGAGCATGCGTGACCATCAGCCAGTAGTAGTTCTAGCTGGTAGCCACCAAATTTTTGCGTTCTGGCGGATTTAGATTTTGCCAATACCGGTGGGTTGTAATTATGTTCTGGGACTTGGATGTTGCAAGCCTGTGTCTTGCTAATAATATGAGGACAGCCGTCTTATGCCCAGCTGTTTAGAGCCAATGCGAGAAAAAAGGTTTAGGGTTTCCTAAACAAAAAAAACGTATTCTCCTCAGTCTGAGGGCATGTCAGCATCGTTGAGAAGTGGCTTGGCTACAGGGGGAAGGGCCACCCAAGTTGTCTTGCTGCTTCTTAGAAGGGGAAAAGGGAATATAATACCTACTGTATATATTTCGTATAGGATCTTAGTAGGGAACATGGGAAGATAATCCTTATATACTCCCTACAAAATCCCTATATTATAATCCCTATAGAATCCCTACTTAATCTCTATATGATATATTCCCATATTCTCTACTAAGAACCAGTAAGTTGTTGAGCTTGGAGCAGGCTCCTTTTGGTGCTTTGCGTTGTGAAAGGGCACATGGTGGCAAAAACGTGTTATCAGACGGCAACACATGTTCAGGATTGTGTTTGTTGGGGATCCGCATTTTCTGACTATTCTTTGCTGTGGGGTGATTGGAGCTCGAACCCTTGTTGTATTTTCAACATCTCTTGCACTGGCAATGGGGATGAGATCTCGGGAGGGCTTCGGAGCTGCGGTCCACTTTCAGGGGTCACAGTTTAGGGTTTTGAGGGTTTAGGGTTTAGGGCAGAATTCGGTGTCCAGGGTCTCAGAGGAGATGCCATAGACCTCATGGGCTATGATTCTAAATTCTGGTGGTGCTGAGCTTCTATAGTCATACGCAAAATCTGCTTGTGGCGGCCCAGAGGATCCTCAGTACCTATTCTGAGAATACTTTCCTAAGCTATATGAGCTATAGTCTAAACTCCTTAAAGAGAGGTTATATGGGGGATTATATAGGGGACTACTATAGGGGTTATTAAGGGGATACTAGGAGTTTAGACTATAGCTCATATTATTAACTCCTAGTATAGAAACCCCACTTTGTATTATAAAGATACTTAGGATCCTTTGGGCAAGAAGACGCCACAGCAGCATGATAATAGCAAAACAGCAATGATACTAGTAGCGATTAAAATAGTCTTTTTAAGCCTACAACCCTAAATTATATAACTTTATAGAACCCTATAATATAGTAGTTTCCATGGATCCCTCAAATCTCTGAACTGTGTCTGGCGATCTCACGACCGACAAGGGAGTTTTGATGGCCACAGGCTTGAAGAGACAAGGTAAAAGGTTGAGGGTTCAGGGTTTTGGTCTTAGGGTTAAGGTTTCAGGGTTTAGGTTTTAGGGTTTTATGTTTTTGGGTTTAGGGACCATAGACCGCGTAAACCCTCACCCCTGAACATCCCCACACCCCATGTACTATCTGTCGTTCATGCGGGGATTTCCCTAAATTCATTATGGCACGGGTCCCCATAGCGGGGTTCATATCGTAATACCTGCCCCTACATAGTTTTTTTTTGTGAACGCTGGTCAAGTCCAATGTCTGTCCCATAGGCAGCCCTAGGCCTAAGGCCTAAACCCTAAACCCTAAACCCTAAACCCTAAACCCAACCTATAATCCCTAAACAGGCCTCAAACCCTAAAGCCTAACAGGCTGATCATGGAGTACTCAGCCCCCCTCACGGTTCAAGATCGCTCCTGGGCAAGTGATGTTCCTTCGTGCTACTTTTTTGAAGGTGGTCCCCACTGTGGCATGCCGTCTCTTGGGTATGAAGGGTGCCCTACCCTAAACCCAAACCCTATACCCTAAACCCTGAAATTCCCACAGACCACTTCAGGCTCAGCAGGACCCCTGCAATCGTCTTAAAGCTTGACTACATATCTATACTTTAGAAATCTGAATTTATTTTGGGACACTCGTAGCGTTGACCTTTGGGATCCTTTCCTTTAGGTTTCAGGGAAGAATGCGTCTAGGAATATAGGTGGTATGCTTGAGAGTCAAGGGTAGGCTTTCGGTGTCCCTGTACTGCAGATGCTGCATTGTTTCTGGGAATTTTGCTTACATGCATATATATCAATATATGAAAAAAAAATATATATATATATATGTATGTATTTTTTCATGGGTATATATCAGGATCCAAATATTCATCTTTATCGACTCTAGGTGTCACCTGGCGCAATGTGGAAGGTTACAAAGACTTGCTGCTGGTGGTTGGCAGGGAATAGGGGAATATAATCCTTATATGCAAAGATATAAACCCTTTATAACTTTATATACTCCCTACATAATGTACTCTCTCACCCCCCTCTGGGTTGAGGGTTTAGGGTTCTGTAACCGTTAACCCGCACTCCAAATCCCCCACAACAGCTTAAGTTGTTGATTAAGGTGTGGGGGGTCCAGGGCAGAGAAAGGGGTTTAGGAACCCTGGACCCCCTAATGAGTGCAAATCGCGATGCTGTGATAGAAAAAGGGCACTGTATGGTATCAGCCCAAGAGACGTGAATATTTCCAAGCATCCCAGCTCCTATTCTATACGCAGCAACATACTCGAACTTGGAATCCTCATTACAAGGACCCCGGTCATGTAGGAGATCTTCATGATCAGGACTTGTACAGGTAGCTTTTGGAAGCCCTTTCTTTGCTGTAAATTTGTTGAGTGCCTTCATCGCATTCTTCAGTTTTGTTTGACGGCCTAGACTTCGCAGAAGTGTCCTGGGCTGCACACCACACTTCTCTTCACTTATGGGCCTGCCAAATCGAAGCACAGCTGTGTAGTGTGTCGGAAACTGCTGTTCATGCTTTATAGTCTTTTCCAACATCAATATAGCCTTACTTGATGGAGCCACCAAATCAATCAAGGTATGAGGACCCCCGTATGACTGCGGCCGTCTTTCCTAGAATTAGCGCATGCTGGCACTGACGCAGTTCATGACAGCGTTCTTATGATGTAGAATTGCGCATCCTCAGCACCCGCGGGCAGGTGTAGATGCAAAGCTTCAATGCGCTTGAAGCAGCACTTCCCTAGCCCTCGGCTGCATCTCAACCACTCATACCTTGAATCCTTTTTCCCAACCTGCAGGCACGCATGTTGTCATGGTTGCATTTTGGGGGCCAGCTAGAAACCTCTCAGGCTTTGGCCATACTCCGCTGGACGATGCCGTGCGTGAGCGCCATGCGGAGGCGACATTCATACGCTTTGTGTGGACACTTGGGGGAGCAGAATGTGACATGGATTGGGTTAGGCTGGGAGTTTGGGCTAAGCAGGAGGAGGTTCGGGCGCCCAATTGATGAGGCGAGACTTCGCCATCTTGAGAGGAAAAGAGCAGGAAACAAAGATGGCAGTTCAGCTTTGAGATGCTTCAAGCTTGCTTGTTTTCATGTGAGACAAGGTCTAGATGGGCGATTGTATATACACAGTTACTGCATCCTCGGCGACGCATCTTATGCTAGCATTGTGCATTCTCCATCTTGCGCTAGCGGTAGGGTTTAGAGCTTTAGAGGTTTAGGGTTTAGGGGTTACATAAACCCTGAACCTTGTAGCTTAGTTCACATTAGTATAGGTTCCTGGTAAATAATGTGGTTCCATCATAAGGGGCAATTCACTTAAGATGCCCAGAGTTTCTGAAGATGCACGGACTGCGAATGTAGGAGCGTACAAAATTGAAATAGGGCTTGGGGCATGTTATACCATGGTGGTATGAGGGACATGAGGAAACAACATGAGGAAATTATCAGGGCTTCTTTCCTACACTCTGGCCCTAGGGCTTACTTGGAGGGTCAGGGGGGGAGTAACCCGTATAATCAATAAATAAGCCTCAGATCTGCCCATTACTACCCTGGTACGTGCTAAGTCCCCCTGACCCTCGCGAACCCCAAACCCTAAACCCTAAAGCCCTCCTAGTGCAGGTTGCTGAGTTTCTCATGGAGGCATCTGCGGAGTTCAAAGGCGGTGTTTCAGCTGCAGCACTTCTGGCCTGTTTGCATAGGATCCGAGACTTTAGGGTTTAGGGCGGAAGGTTTTGGATCCTACGCTAGCTACTCCCGCCCTAACACCCACATCCCCCAAGCAAGGCCGAAATGCGTTTCAGTGGTAGGTAGTTGAGTGTAGGATCCTATGAGTTTCCGTGCCCTAAGTGGGGTTGCTGTTAAGGAATTCAATGCAAGTTTTCATCCTAGGGGAACCGTATGAGTCATCATATATACCCATTGTGGTAGCTTAATCTGAGCTCGTTAACAGCAAGCCGGTAGACCCTAAAGCTTTCAGATCTGGCCGGGCTGCGCTCCTAACGGGTTTATGAGGTTAAAGTGAAACCCAAGAGTAGGTAGAATGTTGACTTTCCTTGGTTAAGTGTGAAACTAGGAGTATGTAGAACATTACCCTTTGGGGTTCTTTTTAGCGTTCTGGGCTATCGTTGAACTCTCTCTGGGGGGTCCAGGTATGGAAAGCACCTCCCCAATGCTCCTGGTTGGTACAGTCCATACCCGCCAAATTCATATGGCAGTTTCGATAAAAAATTAGAGGGCAATATATGGACTGCAATATACCATATTCCTCATTATATTATCCAGAGCCCTGTAAACGCGCAACTTCAGGCGGCTTCAGGCTTGCAACTTTGCTGGCAGGCGCAGTACTTTGAGGCAGTTTCCTTCGGGAGGCTTGAAAAGTACTGGCGTACGCAGCATTTCGTGCATGTGGGTTGGTCGACTCACTGGGTGGAGACAGACCCCGTGGAGTTGGCCATGGAGAGGGACTGGCAAGCCAACCTGGCTGCAGAGGAGGCAGCACACCAGAGAGCAGAGGACAACACCCGCTGAAAGAAGAGCATAGGGTGACCAAAGCACATGCCCAGACCATACTTACCTTCGTGTTCTCGTGAGTACGATTACGAGAGCATCCATGCCCAAACCATAATAACGTTCGTATTCAGAGAGCATACGCTCACCAGCATCCATGCCCAAACCATAATAAAGTTCGTGTTCCATGCCCAGCATACGGTGACCAGAGCATCCGTGCAATTCGCAGACGTGGTCCAGGACAGTGACTGGCTCTTTGCCTGCAGGAAAAAATACGACTTTTTTTGCTCCGGTTTCCTCTGCGCTGGAGAGTCGAATTCACTGGCAGGGCCTGTAAATCCTTCATGTGCACGCATGTGTGCGCGCGCGAGCAGGGCCCTGGCGCGTCATTATCGGGTCCCTCGGAAAGGTAACCCGAAACCGTAGAACCTAAATAATAGCTTCCATTTTCTTTTCCATTATCCCCATGAAACTTTATATACCCCCAACATAACCTCATAAACACCTTAAACCTTAAGCGTTAAATGGTAGCTTCCATTTTCTTTGCCGTTATTCGTCTTTAACCCCCCACATGACCCATATCAAGGTCCATATTCTGTTGGGGTGACAGCTCCCATCTTCTGATGGCTGGTGGAAAGGGAAGTTTGTGTGTGTGTGTGTGTTTCAGCATAATCGTGTTTTTAGATGGCTTTGCTGTGGTTCCTCGGCTATGGTGTAGGGTTTTGGATTCCTCCACGGGCCAAGATGTCATGGGATGCAGTTTGGGTCTAGGCACACCGTTCCTCCAGAACTAGGACATGCACCGGATGAAGCCACAAACCTGCCGCTTGATTTCTGAAAGGGTCGTATTTATAATATACCTATGTACAGCCCTGAACATGACTCCCCTATCAAATATTAGTATAGACTCTTAATAGGTCGGGGGCATGGCCCAAGCTGCGCTGGCCAAGTTTGATACCAAAACTACGGATTTGCGCGCTTGAGAGCCGTGGAGTTGTGACACGTTGCTGGACGATTCTGGAATGAATGCGTGATCCCAACAATGAGCTTTGAAGATTAGACTAGTGTTTCGGGTTTAGGCTTTGGGGTTTAGGCTTTAGGCTTATTTGGAGGGTCAGGGGGAAACCCTAGCCTCAAATCCAACATTCTCAGCTTGCCTGACGTACCACATAAAAGATGGGACGACAGGGGTCCACAAGGTGAACCCTAAACCCTAAACCCTGAACACTCCTAAATCCCTAAACCCGAAATCCTTACATCCCGGAATCCCTAAACCCCTGTTTTGACAAACCCCTGTATGCCTCCGTGCCAGGTCCAGCTGTGCGAAGCGGCAGCTAACGGCGAAACGGCCCAGCTCGACCTTCTGGTGGATGTCCCTAAGCTCGCTTTGTCCCTTCATAAGCCCTGTTAGGGTTTAGGGCTTAGGGTCTAAATTCCTAGTATCCCCCTTAATAAGCCCTATCATACTCATACTCCCCTACATAATCCCTTATAGAACGCCCTTTTAAGCAGTTATTTTCAATTAATGTAGCTCGTGTGGAATCTGGGTCTCGTAAGGTTCAGGCAGGGCGGCTTTGAGTTTGGCTTGTCTTTCTGGGTGATCTTGGGTGTAGGATTCAGGGGCAGTTGTTTTGCTTGTTCTTCGTGTTGGTCACATTCTTTCTTTGCGCTCCCTGGACAATAGACCCGCTTCCTCTCACCCCGCCCTCCACAACAGCCTAAACTTTGGCTGGTAATCTCCTCCTAATATAATACACCTCCCTACCCTTGCTAATAACCACCACCAGTATATTACTACTATATAGTGGGAGGAGCATTCATTATTGGAGGGCTTGGGGGTTGTTATTAGGGGAGAGGATTAGTAGTACAGAGCCTAACCCAGTAAAACCCTCAAACCTGAACCCGCAAGCGAGTGCAATGATCAGTTGAGGTCATCGGCGTCTCTTGGTTGCACCATCAGGGCTTTTGAAAGTATTACTTGGGTTGGGCCCCACCGACTAATAGTGGTATACTAGGAATATATAAGGACCTTAATATAATTGCCATTACCTCTTGTGGTCACGATTAGTGGGTGGTGGCCCAGACTCAAGTATTACCCCATCCTTGTCTAGGCGGTTTCCGAGAAATAGGAGGCGCAAAGATGCTCCCACAACAACAGGGCCTCTGTTGTTATCAGATCGGTGTTTGAGGGGTTAATATCGGTACTTTCCAAAATACAGGGGTACTTTTCCCCATGATCAGGATTTTAGTATTTTGGGGGGGGATCTATACTGGGGATCCCCCTATTTAGGGAAACCCACCACACGAGAACCAAAGTGTTGTTCCAGTCCAGCAATTGTGGGCTTAAAGTCCCGAAGCAGGAACCCTATAACCACCTAGGGAGACCCCACACCCTGTAATGGTGGTACAATCAGTGGGAATATGAGAGGACCCCAATATGATCACCTCATGCCTTATAGTCACTGTTACTGGGAACCCTCAACCCTAAACCTGAAACAATTGAAATCCATTATCTTAATTATTCTAATTATTTTCATAGGAAAATAATGAAAATAATGAAGCAACCCCGCAGGTGGATCCCAATCTCGGCGACTATGACAATCGGACTGCACTTCACTTGGCCTCTTCCAATGGTCACCTGGAGACCATCACGAGCCTGGGACCTCCCCTCTTCTTGGGGAAAGGTTGTGCAGTAGTAGCAATAGTGTTAATAATTGTAGAAATCTTAAAACCTAAGCCGTGTTACTAGTGCTAGTAACAGTAAGAGTACCAGTAGAAGTAATTGAAACACATGTTTGTAGTTGGGAAGGTCTGGAAAGGGGGAAAACTGGAGAAGTTTTGCAAATTATGGCGCAGTACGCTATAACGCCAGAACCATCCAGATTTTTTGTGGGGTGGGGCCGCCCCCTTCCCCCAAGGATATGAAACCTGGCTGTCAGCGTTCTTTTCCGCTTTCGACAAAGCGACAAGCTGTATGCCTGCCTCTTTTTGAAAAACCCCGTAGCTCCGCGAGTCGCTATATTGAAAGGGACTTTACTGGGAACCCCAAACAGGGAACCTCAAGAATACAGTAGGAACCTGTTTGGGTTTCCCATTAAAGTCCCTTATAGTCCCTTCCCAACATTAGTTTGTTGTGCTATTTATGACCTCTACTTAAGCCAAACAGAGCAGGGTTTGTTTAAGGTTTACAGTCCCTCCTAAGTAGATAGAATATGGCTTTGGGTATATCATAACAAGATCCCCATATACCCCGTATTCTATCTTTTTAAAGGAGACTTACCTGGAGTTCATACACTGGGACACTTCGGGACTAGGAGTTCTGAGATGACGTGCTGCAACCCTATATAGCCCCCATATAAGCTTATATAACCCCTATATTTCAACTATGTACCCCCCCATTAAACCTACATGGCTCTATATGTTCACTATAGCCCCCGGTATAACCCCTAAACCCTAAACCCTATATAACCCCGTTTGGGATTTAGCGCAGACTCCGCGTCTCTCTCACCGGTAATATTTAGAACCGAGACATCAGGCTGAAGGATGCCAGATTCCCAGAATTTAGGGTTTAGGGTTTATGACTTAAGGCGTGGGGTTTAGGATTTACGGTTTAGGGACTAGGGGTTTAGGGTTTAGGGACTAGGGGTTTAGGGATTTAGGATTCGAAGTTTGGGGATTCTGGCACATTGGTTTAAGGTTTGGGGCTTGTTCTCCACTGTAGGGAGTATCCCTACGCCCTAAACCCTATATCAACGCTGCATAAGCCTTATTCAACCCCTAGATAATTCCCATAAGAACCTTAATTTGGCAGAATTTGGGTGAAATAGTGACAAGTCTTGATTAGTCCATCCATAACATGACTCTCAATGCAAAATGCACTCCACTGACTCCAGAATCCGCATAGTTCCTTAGACCCCTCAATCCTACGGGAAGTACTGAAACACCTGCATGCCGAAGTACATTATAACTTGGGAATCCTTGTAGTTCAGAACGTAAGGTTATGCAAGATTAGCATCAGCATTACACCCTGCATGGAGCCAGTAAGCATGAACTGACATGGCTGAGCGGCGCGCCCTAATAATGAACCCCGGTACCGCACTTGTTATATCATGTCCTCATTTGTATAACGGTGCAAGCTATCCCCAAAGCTCATCCACTTTGCCTTCATCCTACTTCATGCTCGGCCACCGACAAGTTTACAAAGTTCTGACAATGCTGAGGAAGATGTTGGAATTTCCAACTTTGGACCTCAGCCCTCTCGATCGCTTTGGCCAAACTCCACTGGACGACGCAATTCGCCATGAGCATGTTGCAGTGCAGAGGCCGGAGCCAGATGATTATGGCCATTCTTAGACTTATTGTTACGAGTACTATGTTACTACTATGATTATTGTGATTCTTGGTACCATTACTGCTACTACCAGCACTATTACTACTGGTTCAGTTGTTACCAACCTGCGGCCTGTCATATATGGAATTGCTGACAGGACCACTTTTTGCTTTTTTTTCCCGGACTGGGTTTCCCCTTCTGCCTCGCTAGATGATACTGAAATTTCAGCCGAGGACTTCTGACAACTCAGCCATGCTTGATATGTATTATAGTCTCCTCAAAGGGGGCGGGCTATATTGGGGATTAAGTAGGGGAGTAGTATGGGAATGACTAAGGGTGATAATGGGACTTTAGAGTATAGTTCATATCACATAAGACCTTAGCCACAATACTTGCCAAATTGCGCGACGAAGTTCTGGGATGATTATATGGGCGTTCAAAATGTACATATGGTCCTTGGGTTCCCATTATAATACGGCCCCTCATATCTAAACTACCCCCCGAACAGACCCACATTTTGCCAAACCCCGGCGTTTTGGAGAGAGATTTCCTTTTCCAGGCCATCGGATAAAAGCCACATAAAGAGAACACGCCCATGCCGAACTAACAAATGTCGTCCCTACAGAATTTCATGATCAGAGGATTCTGCTCTTTTGGGACAACGTGGAGAGGTTCAAGAATCTGTGTGATTCTGCAAGTGGTCCGTCAGGAGAAGGACTTCAAGTTATAGATAGGTGATGGCCTACTATGTCGCTCTATAGTTAGTACTGTAGCTGACACCAGTATTTTGTTAAACGCCTGGCTTGCGCAGAACCCTATGGCGCACAATCGGAGCATAGGACAACGCAGCGTCTTGGGGTCCCCTTTATTGTGAATCCTACTGAGCAGATAGATGTTTTAGTCCTACATGCTTAGCCGTCACGACAGCGAGACTATCCGTTGCCCACCCCCGTTCAAGACATTTTCTCAACTCCCAGAACATAAAAACTTGGACTGAAACCACCAAACCTCGAGTCACCCAGGATATTTGTTTCCATCTCCTTTTTCCAGTATCCCCATATAACCCCGATATAACCCTAAAACCCTAAACCTTAAACCCTTGATAATAGTTTCCAGCTTCTTGTCCATGATCCCCCTATAACCCCAAAATAACCCCCATATAACCCCCACATATAGAAGACTTCTGTGGACGTCTGCGTCGCGCGCAGGCTCCTCAAATCCGAGGGCGCTCAGATGGGCAAAGTGGAGTTTGGGGTGGCCTTGTGCGAGGCAGCGTCGCAGAACGATCATGCCAAGATCCGACAGAGACTCGGCGATTAAATTTAGGGCTTAGGGCTTAGGAGAATGCGTCCCTTCATCTTGTGCATGAGGCCGATCTCGCAAAGTGTGAAGTCCACAATATGGATTCCATGGCAAGAAGGGATCTACTGCTTTAGAAAATGCTCCATGAGCAAGCAAGCCCGCGAGCGAGCAAGCAAGCAGGTTTCAAGAACGCTTCTCCTCTTTCTTATTACAATCATTGTACTTATAGGAGTTGGCTTAGTACTAATTTTAAGAGTACTACTTTTATTAGCATTATTTCAAACATTATGCCGTATACCGCATCAGCAACAGAATCTGACAAGCCGTGGCCTAAGGATGATAGAAGCAGGCGTCAGGGCAGGCATGGCAGATTACGACTATCGCACCTGGGCTTGGCAGGCAACTTTAGGAGAGGGAACAAATCTGAATGACATTCTCATGTGCTCCTTGTACTTTGAGGGTATATGATGATTGAATCGTATACTTGAAACATTGCGGACAAGCTGGCTAGTGGATCGCTCAAGGTGAGGCAGGGACATTTGTATCAGCAATGATGGTGGCCGCCGATTTGGCTGTTGAAGCAGTAGTTGCGCAAGCAGCTGTAGCAATACCCATAACCGGCCCATAGCAGCGGGAGCCGTTGCTGTTATTGATTGTGGCTGCACAGTTCTTGATACTTCTTGTGTTACTGCAACACCTGTGTGAGGAAGTCGCTGGACATATGAGTAGCAGGTGGAGCAGAAGTAAAGTGGTAAAGGTAACAGTGACCATTTCTCAACGACTGTCACTACACTGTATCACTGTAGCCGTATTCAACAAAGTGCCGGGTATGCCAGCTGGGCTGTCCTGTTTATTCTGTGGCCGTGCATCTGGGGAGTGACCAACTTTTCCTTTGGGCTTTGGGCCTTGCTCTGTGATATATGTGGTGAGTATGTTATGAGAGCATGGTGCGTAGTCAACCTTGATGTTGCAGTCCTGCTTGCTGAAGAATCGATTCGTGCGGTAGCTACCTCATTGACCAGGAGCACGGTCAACAACTTGTTAGACGTGAGTTTCTTGTGGCGCAATATCCGAACCTAAACTGCAAACCCTCAACTTGAACGACCATTTTTTAGTCGGGAGCCTCAAGGCACAGCACTGCATTTGGCATGTTCGAACGGCCATCTGGAGACGTGCGTCTTTCTGCTGCGCGAGGGTAAGGTTCCGTGGCTGCATGCATTCATGGCTACTCCCAGGTCTGCCTGTTAAGCGGAGTCTGGTTCTTACCTCTGGGTTAACTTACAAGATTCGAATGGTTCTCCTCTGAGGTGCAGGCAAATGGGTATATGGCTAGCGACTTTCCCGTAAAAGACTTCGTAGTTAGCAACCAAGTTCTGGTGACCTTGAACATATTCGTCGCAACGTCCAAAACATGTTACCCTTGGCCTTCATTAAGATGACTGCGTGAGCCTAATTCCACGGAGGACAAGCTTTGGGCATTTCTGAGTTAGCACGTCTTGGCAAGGTGGATCCGAACCCCTTGGACCGCTTCTTGAACACTCCAATGGACCGGCCTTGGATCAGAGAGAGAGAGAGAGAGAGAGAGAGAGAGAGGGGGAGAGGACACATAACATGAAGTCGTGAGCTAGTAATATGTTTGATGTCGTTCTTATTCTAGTTGTTATTCGTGTCGCTGTATGTTCTACTGTTGTTGGCCATGCGTTTGCTCGACAGACAAGAAGGAGCTATTAAGCTGCAGGCCATGGGCTTACACATAGGACTTCCTCAGTACTTTGGCGTTCAGGACGGCAGGTTGTCACTTTAAAGAGTGTTGCTGCTAACTTGGATGAGCTTCATACACTGGGCGCAGAGCCAAAAAGCACGAGTCAAGCCTATTCCAGTTCAGCATCACACCCTCCCAGCATACCTGGCCTTAAGACGCAATTTCTTGAGGTTCCTGAAATTCCAAAAGGTAGGCGAACTTAATCCTAAACCCTTAAATCCCAAACCCTAAAACCCTAAAACCTGAAACCCTAACACCCTAACACCCTAACCGCCTAAAATCCTAAATCCATAATCCAACCATTAGAGTCTTGGAGGATGATGCCGTACGCCATGGACAGCATGATGTCGTGCAGCTACTTGTGAAGTACCGCGGTCGACCGTCCCAAGATGAGGACGCCTTGGTTACTCTCACCCAAGGCTTAGTTTTAGGGTTTGGGGTTTAGGGTTTAGGGTTTAGGGTGCTGGGTAGGTACACTTTACACTTCCCTTCGAGATATCGTGTTTAATTACTTGTACAGTGATGCACTCACGCAATAACGCCGCGGTGTGTCATCGCCAAGGATTTGCTTTACACTTTTGGGGTTCTTATATTCCCATTAAATAAGAGTAGAAAGTCTGCACTTTTTAGGGGCCAGGGAACTCAGCAACTACGTATGTGAACAGGGCTACGTTCAACAGAAGTTCCAAACAGAAAGTCTTCCAGTTGCAGTGGATATGAACCCGGCCCTATAATACAGTTGTTTCCATTTTCCTTTCCATTATCCCTATATAGCCCGAACATAAAATTCAATGACAGCAGTAGGTGCACTGTTTGAGCTGTGGTGTGACTCAGCAGTGCCTCGACGATTGTCATGAGGGCTGATGGTTCATGAGATGCTAGCTGGGTTGGTCAATATGCTCCATAATTGGTTTCATAAGGACCCTCTATACCAGTATTTTCAAAGGGCTCCAAAGGCCAACCAAGCTAGGGAGGAGGTCTATAAGTCTAGTCTTGTGGCGAAATCATTGTCCCCCCCTTCTGTTCGCGAAGGTCGATATCCTGCCTTTCCTCAGCTGCATATGAGCAATCCCTAAACCCTAAACCCCAAACGCATGCATGATGGACTATGAAAAGGAATGGCGTGAATGCGGACCTAGAAGTTGCCCGCAACCCACAACAGCGATAGCACCCCCAAAAGCCCCTCAATCTTGAGACAAGTGCTCGGCGTTCATGATTCAGATTCATATGAGCCATAATCAAAGTTCCTTTAAAGGGGGTCTATATAAGGAAGGTCAAGGAAGTCAAGTCAAGTGTCCATGATATAGGATCCCGCTATATACCTCATACCACATTACAGTAACTTATCATCAGTTCCTGAACAGCCACAATGTCTAGACCCAGGTCGGGGCTTCTGAAGGTGCCTCATTGTTTACGGTTTAACGCTAAACCCATATAACCCTTATAATAGGGTTTAGGGTAATATAGTAGTTTCCATTTTCTTTTCGATTATCCTTATATAATCCCAATATACACAATATTATAACACCTATGCAAGCATCCTCTTTTTTCTTTTCTTATGAGTCTAGCAGTTTCCGGGCTTTGTTGGTAGAGTAGCCCAACATCAACAAGCTGATCAAGGCCTAAACCCTAGAACCCTAAACGTTTAGGATTTAGGATTTAGGGTTTAGGTTTTAGGGTAATAGTAGTTTCCATTCTCTTGTCCATTATCCCAATACAGCCCCCATATATACTAAACCCTAAACCCTGAATAGTAGGTTCCATTCTCTTTTCCGTTATCCCAAAATAACCCCAATGTATACCCTATAATCCCTATGTAACCGATTATAGTAATTTCCATTTTATTTTCCATTATCCCAATATAACACCAATATAACCCCAATATAACCCCCAATGTATTTACAATACCTGCTGGTCAGGAGATGCAGGGCGGAGTGCGTACCTTGTTGGCAGACAGCCGCAGAAAAAGAGGATGCTTATATAGGGGTTACAATTAGGGGTTTAGGGTTTAGGTTTAGGGTATGTATTGGGGTTATATAGGGATAGTGGAAAAGAAAATAGAAACTACTATAGGTGTTGTATAGGCCTTTTTCCCCTCACAACCAACTTGCAGCTTAATGCGCTACAAAGGCTCCACTGCAATTGAAACGTAATGGGCAGGTCAAAGCGGGATACAAGCCCGGAATCAGATGCCCAAATGAGGTTACAGTTCTAAGTGTGCTTATGCCAGCCAATTCGAACCGTACTTGTAAGGATCTGCAAGCTTTCCTTTCGGGCTTGTGGGTTCGTGTCTGGCATAGTTTGTTGATTTGGGACGGGCCTGTCGACATTTTCGAATCCATAGGATTCCTTATAGGGCTCATTGGCCATGATGCGGCTGTTGAGTATACATTCGCCACTAGATTACAGTTTGCGAAATGCTTGTCAACTTTTTGTGAAAAAGCCCGCGCATGTGTCACTTCTGCTGGCAGTGCAGACTTTCCTCCGCCAACATTAGCACACCCACGTTCGGACAACTGGAGGGGGCGGGCTGAATAGGTCTCCTTCTTTGTTTACAGCTTGAAGACATGCAAGGTAATGTGATATGATAATATGCACGGCCCAAGACAGTTTAAGTCTTTGGAAGCAGTTCTTCTCCGAATGGGCTTGGGTGCTAGCAAGCTCCACTGCCCGCAAGCAATGCAGGATGTGCGTGGCACTTTACACCGCATCTTCCTACAAGGTTCCTGAAAATAGCTATTAATTTCTGTTACCAATAATCCAATATTCCAATCCTAATATTCAGCTGAAATTATGATTTCTACTGGGGTTCCGAATACCTTAGAGCTTCCATTCTTGCCATGAATCAGTAACCAGGGCGAAGGCCCTCAGGAGAAAGATGGAACAAGAGCCCTTGGAGCGCGGGGATGTAGACATTCTGTTCGGACATTTGCATGACAGCTTTCTGTGAAGAAATTCCAGTTGCTATCACTGCAATATGTCATGTTCAGACTTCTGGACCCGTTCATTCTGTGATACAGCGGGCTATAGGGACCCTAAGCCCTAAAACCCTAGACTCTAAACCCTAAACCCTAAAGGTTACTGAACTCAGGCAGTGAGTTCATCAATGCCATGGAGGAGGAGAGCAACCGTAAAGATGCGGATAAGTTGGAGAAGGAGCTGAAGACCAATGGCTTTGCGGCAATTTGGTTGCAGTAGTTGCAGAGACGACCTCCTCCACCATAAGGAGGATATAGGCTTGGGGGTGATATAGGGATACTATCATGAAAAAGAAAATGGAAACTACTATAGTATGATGCGACAAGGCACAGAACCCCAACAGCATCTGAGAATCTGAGATATGGAGTTGGCCATTTCCTCCCTCCCAAGAAATCAGAAATGCCTGCATCATGTATTCTAGACCTACTGAGTTTAGGGTTTAGGGTTTTGCTGTTAGAAGGAATGTAAGTTAAGCGACCAGAATGGGTATAGATAGTAATTAATGTGCTTCCCCATTACAGCAACTTAGGTCAGTTTCCTGAACTGAAACAGCCTAATGCTGCAATTTGGGCTCAGGGGTGGAACCGGGGCTGAGGAAGTGTTGGAGAAGGTCGTCAAGCTCCGCTCAGACATTGAGAATGAAGTCCATCAGTTCATCCAAAGCGCGACAAACATTCGTCACTTGCACGCAAGGATGGCCAACTGCGGGCTTTGCAGCGTTCCGGAAGTAGATGACTTAGGTCTGAAACAGTGAGTATATATAGTAGTTTCCATTTTCTTTTCCATTATCCATATATAACCCCAGTACATAACCCATTGTAGTAGTTTCCATTTTCATAGGAGTGGCACCGCCCCAGGGTTTAGGGTTTAGGGTTTAGGGTATTCCTCGGCTTCCATGTATTGCAAAATTTGGGTTGCTGTCAGTGCAGCCTTATAGATCCTGACCCTTCTACCCTCAACCCTAAACACAGTCCAGCGCAATGCCCATGTCTAAACCTCCAAGTGCTGAAAGAGGTACTTTCAGAGGGATTGGGTATTAGTATTTGTGTCCAGGTGCTGTTCAGTTGGCGTAGCCGAAGCTGTCTGACTTCGGCGTTCAAGCAGCGGGTCTTTTCACCTAACCTGATGACCTAATGAAACCCTAAACCCTGTTTCACTGACTTCGTCGGACTATGGAGCTTGGGGCTTGGGGTGCTTCTTCTTGACTGGGTCCAAGAGCCTCATGAGACATTGCTATCATTGTCTTTGCTGCCGGTTCTGGTGTTCATGCCTATTGCATTCCGAACAAGCATGAGCCAGCTCTCTTTGGCTTTAGTCTGTAGAAGCCCCGGTTCATTTTCAGCAACATGATCCGCGCCTTGGATTGAGTGTGCATAGACTGCAGGGCCAACATCGCTTGAATCAGAAGATGCGGCCCGTCTTCGAAAGCCTTTAGGTAGCTGCGCAGCGTACATGGTCAAACCTAAGTTCTAGGGTTACCACAATTGCTGAAATCCCGAATTTGCCCTCTCTTTATGGCCATGGAGGCAGAGTGAAAGCAGAACCTGTGTGCACCATCACACGTCAATGGCTAAGAATGTGAACCTCAACAAAGTAATAAACAGTTTCCAAATCCCTAACCTCCTTCCTGAGTCCTACATCAGCATCCACAAAAAGCGGCCCCTGTGACAGGTTATGACCTCTGCCGCATTCTCCATATGTCTATGATAGTCAGCGATGATTCAGCCCGGGGCAAGTTTGAGCTGGAGGAGTTCATGCAGGGCTACCAGGAGCCGCATGTAGGGTGTGAGCTGGTAGTAGGGATGTAATGAACGGAGTCGCTGCGACCCTTTATCTACCAGAGTTCGCTTCAGTATCCACCTTGCCTGTGATGACGGGCACTAGGAGTTCTGATTCCGAAGGCTACCGGGAGCCGTCTTGTTCTTGTTGTCAGACAGGCTGTGACACGGGATGCCAGGCCAGCGAAACCCCAAGCCAGGGCTCTTGGGATCCAAGCTTCGAAGTCTTCAGCCTTCGCCATCGAAATCCGTGGAGTGCTACCGGGTTCGCGTCTCCAAAGAGAACCTTGTACTCCGTATCATGCATGTCCGGGCATGTAACAAGCAGCTCCTGCAAGAACACCCGTTGTAGAGTCGTAGAGGAAGTGCTGCGCAGGGTCGCGGCGCAGGACACGCGAGGTAAATCAGTGCGTCCTTTCCCCACCTCCTTCCACTACTTAATGAGAATCCGGTCGTGACGTCCAGGATGAAACCACGACGGTGCAGAGGCCCGCACCAGAGCCCAAGGGATGAGGTTTCTAGTAGACACCGCAACCACTATGGGCTATTAGACCTTAAGATTCCCTATTAGGACCCTATTCAGGGTAGATTAAGGTACCCTTAAGGTCTAATAGCCCATAGTGGAAAGGGCCATTGGCAGACAAGTGCTAAAGCAAGATGAGGATCCTTAGAGGCCATTAAGTGGTATCACTGGGTTGTTGTTAGGGAGTTTAATTTAAGTCACCATAATTATGGGTATGTAGCAAATAACTGGGTTCCTTGTCTTAGTAGCTGGGTAGGTACACTTTAGAGTTTCGGGGGTCTTATATTCCAATTAGAATAAAAAGTGACCACTTTTTTGGGGCTAGGGAACTCAGCAAGTAAGTTGTTATAGTAACTTATTTCAAGTTCCTTAACGCATGTTTGCTGCTACGCATACAGTGGAGTCTGGCCAGCTATTGTTTAAGTACTTTCAGGGGCGCTTAGTTACAGGATTTAAGGGATCAGGGTCTAGGGTTTAGGGTTGCAGGTAATGGCAACAGCTCTACAACGACATGCACTTGTTGCAAGCTAGCGAGATCCCATGCTTCCTCAATCCAGATATACTTTGAAGAGCTTCTCACTAGACTGGGTTGCTGTTAAGGAACTTAATTTGAGTTACCATATTGGGGAAACCCTATTATTTACTATACGTATACCCATTATGGTAACTTAAATTAAGTTCCTTAACAGCAACCCACTAGACGGTGTGTGTGTGTGTCCTTCACTGCAGCACGTGATGGTCCCAGAGCCTGTTCCGCGTCTACTTGGAAGTTTCCCAAAATGAAGGGTACCATTTTGGGGGTCCCTATAATAAGGACTATAGTATATTGGGGTCTAAATTGGGGTCCCCTCATTTTGGGAAACTGCCACTTGGGCCCCAGAGAACTGCAAAGGAAGTCCGAAGAGCTTCGGAGCCAAAGTGCCTACATTAATTTTTCGCTTGTTTACTCTGGTTATTGCTACATTATTATGACCATCAGTAGGTCTAGACTGCAGAGATACTTAATTACTGCAATGGTCAGTTGTCTGCAGTCTCTCTTTCATTGGTGACTGAAGCAGGAACACACATGCACTGCGAAAAGGCTACTGCAGGAATGGAAGACCTTTGGTCGTCTAACATGGGGCCCTTTATATGAGCTTCTGGCAAAATCAGGGGACACGAGAATTTTCTCAGAGTAGAATCGAGCCTGTTGGCCTGCACAGGGTCTTTTGCTGACTGCTTGATGCTGGGTAGGGAAGGATGGAATGGATTCCTAGAGTACCCGAAACCTTAAACCGTAAACCCTAAACCCTAGCCCATGCATAATCCCCAGACATGGTCCGTAAAACCCATTCCCTACCAAGACTACTAAACCCTAAGCCCTACGTCCCGAATCCTAGGGTTTAGGGTTCAGGGTCTAGGGGTTATGGGGGTGAGGGTTTAGGGCTCAGGGTTCCGAATCCTAAGCCCTAAACCATGCGCACGCTAGACCCAAAGCCACACTATGAACCCAGCTCCCCATTCCGCACGAGAACCGAAATGCAAAGGCCTCGTCATGGTCTGCCTTTCATAAGGTACGGTTGATATTGAAAATCCTGCATGATTTTAGTATACTATAGGACCATAATTCCTATGCTTTACGGTCCTTAGGGTTATAAAAGATGTTTAGTCTCGACCCAAATACAAAATTACCAGGTCCTTAGAAGGGGTGTGGTTCAAGGGGGGGCAGATACCGAGTTGTGTCCGACACTCCCACCCTAAACCTAATCCGCCCACAAGGCTCCATAAGTCAAGAACCTGGCAATCAAACAACCCTTCACCCTAATATTAGATATTCCACATAAGTGACCTTATATATTGGAAGGCATATGTACTCTTGCAAGCGTTTAATAGTAGCTTGAAGGGTCCTATGCATAACTGCTGTAGGCTGGGATCAGTATCCAGCCTGACTTCTGGGTTGTCAAAAAAAATTCTGGGGGGGGGGCTCCTAAGGTGCTTAAACACCGACCATAATCTTCACAACCTTGCATAAGCCCACTAAGCCTAAGCCGCACCACCTCCCAACTGGGTCTGACTGCACGTACAGGTTGAAGCTTCTCATGGAGAGGGACGTGAAGAATTACGAAGCTGGCCTGGCTATCAGGAAGTTTAGGGGCTCCATCTTCTTGATTACACCCCCGCTCTATAGTGTATTCTTTTTCAACTTATTGGCTGCAAGTAGGGAATTAGGGCATATGTAATATGGGGGTTAAATATCAGGTATTTTCCCGTATTCCCTAGTAAGAACCAGAACCAGTAAGTAAAGACCAACCGAGGACAACACTGCGGCGAAGATCCTGCAGCACATCGATGAGGAGCTTCCTGGCCGCAACTGACACGACAGTGACAAAGTTATTCGGGAAATGCAGCTTAGGGTTTAGGATTGCTGCAGCAGGAGTCATGACTTTCTTGAGGTTAGGTACCACGTTTTCTGAACGATGGCCGTGATCAGTGGTTTTTTCTACCACTGGTAGGTTTTTTGCTAAGCCCGGCTCAGGGTCTACCCGTTCTTGAACACCTTGCAGAGCAACAACCACACGAAGGGGTTGATGGCAGTGCTCATGCCGCGCGTGATTGACGACCTGGGCAAACTTACTTCTGCTGCTCAGTCACAATAATGCGGTGCAAGAGGGCGTCAACTCTTTCACTACACCGTCCTGGTCTAGATACCTCACAAGTAATTCAGGGGTGCATGGGAACTAGGTCAGGGTAAAGAGCAGATGGCATGCTGTGTGGTCAAGGGGCTGACCTTTGGGAACCCGTCCAGAACCCATTGAGTTTTGCTTTCTGCTAGGGCTCGGGGTTGGAGATGTGCACCTCATGCCAGAGCCATTCACGGAACACCTGATCTTACATTGGGATGCCCTCATTCCTCTAAGAAAGCGCCCGGGGCGTAGGAGGGCCATTTCGACAAATAACACATACCAGTATCGCGCTACAAAATACTGACGGAAGCCGTGGCTGCTTCTTTGCCAGCATGTGAGCCATATCCCAAACTCGTCGTATCCCTTAAAAAACAACTCCCATACCACTCCCCTGTATAATCCCTATACAACCCCCTTTAAGGAGCTTAGACTACTCCCCTATATAATCCCTACATAACCCCCTTAATTAGGGAGCTTAGACTACTCCCCTATATAATCCCTACATAACCCCCTTAATTCAGGAGCTTAGACTATAGCTCATGAGTAAGTTGCGGTGTAGCCCCCAAATCTCGTGGATGTCAACAGCAACGCTGGGCTGCATCCACCCGTATGACCTAAGGGTTAGGGTTTAGGGTTTAGGGTTTACTGGAGGGTTTACGGGACTTAGTAAGTAGGTTAATAATGGGGATAATTAAGGTTACTATATGGGTTATAGGGACTAATAACCTACTTACTAAGTCCCTTAATAACCTACTTACTAAGTCCCCCTGACTCTCCAAGTATGACCTAAGGTTGAGACCGTGGGCCCCTAGTATCGGCCTATATGCCTTGTAGTCTAAACTCCTAAAAGGGGGTAATATAGGGACTATATAGGGGAGTATTCTAGGGTTATTCAGGGGAATACTAGGAGTTCAGATTATAGCTCATATACATCTACCGGTATAAGTCTAAGGCAAGCATTGCAAGACAATCTTGTTCAAGCCCCCCGCATGTAAAGTGGACATGCTTCCCAATCCAGCACTACCATTTCCAAGATATCTTTCCCTAGTTTGCCGAGCCCGGATCTTTGGTTCATGTCCTTATTAAGGCCAAGACCGCTTGTTACAAGCCCCAAGCCTCTACGCTTTATGTGGGGTGTTGAATTCCAAACAGTAATCTCATAGGTGCTTACGCTTCATTCTTCTCTAGTCCATGATTTGACAAAAAAAAAACGCTCGCCTGAAATTCGAAGTCCTGGAATGTGGCTTGGCTTTCACACGCTACAACCACTGCGCAATTATCTGCCTTGCTGCGAAGGAACGTACATGAAGTCACTATGATGAGGGAACCCTTTCATTTACAATGTATCCATAATGAAATACCTTAAATTAAGTTCCTGAACAGCAACCCAGTAGTTTTAGCTTCGAACGCTAAGAGTGAAGGTTTGAGCCCGTCAGCAAATGGACCTGGTAAGGACTGTACGTTTGGTTTGGCCACGGGCTCCAAAACCGCCGTGAGACACCCCATGACAGTCCTCCTCATGATGCCCAAATCATTTCCTTTGGTTTCCAACGCCTTGCATGCATATCCCACGTGTTCCTTTGTTCTTTCTCTTTATCTTGTTTTTTTTGTTCTCTCTCTCTCTCTCTCTCTCCCCCTCCCTGTCTCTATCTCTCTCTCTCTGTGCACAGTTTCGCGCCCAGAGAAAACACTATGATTCGACACACCCCTGAACCCTAAAACCTCCCATACCTCCCCATCATGTTTGCAAAAGCTCCCATCTGAGCACCCTGAATCCTAAACCCTGTTCTTGGGACCGGACCGCGGAGGTAGGCAATATGCAGCCTTTCCCTACTTCGCCCATTATGGCTCCTTTAGAAATAGGTTCCCTAACCCCAGGCTTCTACAACTATAGCCCCGTTCTAATTTATCCTTTACAAATAGGTTCTCCTAACCCTAAACCCTAAACCAGGTTCCCCTACAAAGTATGCTGAGCAGGTATTGAGGCATGTGAAGGCGCTTCTTCCGCAGCTCATGTCGAAGCTGAGCACGAACGCTGCTCTAGGCCATCACTGGCCAAGAGTTTTTTTCTGGGTTTGGGGTTCAGGGTTTGGAGTTTAGGGTTTGGGTTTTAGGGTTTGGGTTTCGGGTTTACGGTTTAGGGTTTGAGATTTAGGGTTGAGGGTTTTGTTTGGGTTTGGTGTAAGGAAGCCATGGAGGTCTTAGGTTGTCCTCAGTTATGGGTCCCGCTTACATGTGGCCCCCTCTAAGGGTTCCATACTTGCTTCACAAAACCTGAGCTAGATTATCGTACTGTGAATTTGGGAACATGGCAAAGTTTCCTTACGCAAAGCAACTGATCTTGGGTTTCTTGAGGCCAGCCCATTTGTCTGTTAGGATGCAGGGGACGGGTCAACATTACAGTCTGCCTCGGGGTAGTTACCCTAAATATTAGGGCGCGTGTGATTTCGGGGGCCCAATACCTCAAATCCTAGACCCCAAGGGACCATAAGAGCAGTAGGATGAGGGTGTAGCCCTGAGGGGCTTGGAGATATACCGGATTGAGAAGTGTAACAGTTGGGTTTCGGGATTTGGGGGAAGCTGTCAGTCTACAAAACGCGACAGTGTGGCACGTCACAGCCCGTTCTGAGTTATGCACGCCTTTTTGTGTCACTCTTCTTAATGCTGGTACCACTGGCTGCGAAAATGTCTGCACGCCTCTGCATCGTGAAATGCTAGTCGCCTGACTTGAAACTTCAACTCCAGGCTCTTAACCCCTACTTTCTGCATACTTGGAGGCTACGACTGCCGCGCCTTCGGATCCTTAGTTGCATTTTTGGGTTTTCTGGAATTGGGGTCCCGTATTGGAAGTTGCATGCTATGGCAGTGAACATGGGTAGCTGCAGTTAAGTAGAAATACGGGGGTTAATTCGGTATTATGGGTTTCAACCCTAAACTCCGCACCCTAAACCCTAATTGTGGGCCCCTTCAGGCCGCTGATTTTGTTCTGCGGCTAAACCCCACACCCTGAATCAGCTCAGGGTGCTGAAAGTGCGAGGATGCACCCCAAACTGGGCAAGTTATGATGACCTCGCCCGACCTCAACCCAAACAGGGATTTAGGCTGAACATGGTCCCCAAACTGCGTAATCTGGGCTCCGACGCGATTCTTAAACTGGGCAGCCAAGGCATGCGTTTGCAAACTTTCTAGACCATAAAGACCCATGGCTTTTCGCCCTACCACCCAGCTTTCGTAGGTACCGCACCGATCATCGTAGCATCTCTTTTGAAACCCTAAACCCTAAACCCCGGTGTAAGCCTCCATGCACCGACATCACGAGTCCTCGTGCTATCTGAGCCAGTGTCTAAACTCCTAGTATCCCCCTTAATAGTGGAGGATCAAATGGAAAAGAAAATGGAAAATTAAATGGAAACTGCTATATATAGGGTTATGTAGTGCATTATAGGGGTTACAGTCTAAACTCCTAGTATCCCCCTGAATAACCCCCATAGTAGTCCCATATATAGTCCCCTATATTACCCCCTTTAAGGAGTTTAGATTATAGTTCATCTGTCCCTGGAGCACGCTAACTCAGGTCTACTTTTCTCGAGGCTTCGCAGCGTGGGACAGTTGGCATTCACATAGGTTTTAGGGTTTGGGGTTTAGGGTTTAGGGTTCAGGTTTTAGGGGTTTAGGGGTTTGGGGTTTAGGGATTTCTTGAGGCACCGGGAGGCAATTGGATCTTGAACGCTCTGTGGGTTAGAAAGCTTGGTCTGACGTGGAGGAACGTAGGCCTGGCCCCGAGGCTTTGAACAGACTGGGTTTAGGGTTTAGGGATTTAGGGTTTAGGGTTTAGGGTTGCTGTTAAGGAACTTAAACTAAGTTACCAGAATGGTTTTTTGTGTAAATAACAGAGTTTCCCCAATATAGTAACTTAATTCAGGTTCCTTGACAGCAACCCAGCAGAAGGTTTACGGATTTATAGTCCCCCGTAAGTAGATGAAATTTGGCTTCGGGCATGTTATAAGAAGATTCCCAATACCCCATATTCGATCTGCCTAAGGGCACTGTAGGCTTTGGGGTTTTCGGGTTTAGGTTTTAGGGCCTAGGTTGGTTCAAGTGCCTGACCCGCTGTTCGTAAAATGGAAGGATGCTGCACTGACGTGTGTTGTTGGGGACGGGCTCTCAGTACAAGGCAAGAGTGTGACTCTCAAGTCTCGTCAAGCTGCGTTTTTTCAACATTATGGGCCCCTTCCTGGAGATTCACGATTTTGGGTATAAGTACCTAAACCCCGAACCCTATTTTGGGTATATCACGGCAGGACAGACCCTCAACCCTACACCCTATATGTCAAAAGGCAAAGGGATGGTCCAATTCATCGGGGCAAGATTCTTGGCCTCCTACATCCGCAGTCCGAGCTGCTGGTAAGGAATTTTAGAATGAAGTTACCATAGCAGGGGTGTATAGTCTATAGACCCGTAATATGGAACCTAAATCCTAAACACTAAACCCTAAACCTAATTCAAGGTGTTAAAAAAACTAATTCAAGTTCCTTCACAGCAACCCAGTAGTCTGGGCGGTACGTAGCAATTTCCAAGAACGAGGGGCAAGGCCATTCCTGGCACATTGGAGATCCTGAAATAGCGGAATCCGCAAAAAGTGATTCCTTGTTTTTCGGAAACCACCAAATGA